TTAGGCTGGTCTCAAACTCCTAGGCTCAAGTGATCTCCTGCCTCAGCCTCCCAAAGTGCTAAGATTACAGGAGCAAGTCATTCCACCTGGACAGAATCATCATTTTTTTTTTTCTGCAGTTTTTGCTAGGACTGCATTTGAACCTGCCACCTGCAAATATATGGGGCCGGAACCCTACTCCTTTTAGCCACAGGCGCTGCCCAGAATCATCATCTTTGTAAGCATGGGCAGTTACCTGATGACTCACTGTTGGGGGTTATCAGAGTATTCTACTATCTATATACATAGGTGAGGCAGAAAATAACCTCAATATACCAATGTATAGTCTATAGTTGCTATCCTCTAGTAGTAGGAAGAAATGAACTATTTAATGATATTTAAATACTCATATACTTTTTTGCCAATCATTTAGTATCTTTATAGATGTTTTAACCATTCATTCCTCCCTTTTAAAACAAAGCTCAATGTGAATAAACTGTTTCTTGATAACTTTGGTCTGCAGGTCATTAAGGTCCTTTACCAACTGTAACTGACCCCAGGTTGCCGTTCCAAATTCATCTTTAGTTACAATCTCCTGTATCTTATGCCTGTGTAAGTTGTGGTAGTGAGTTTTTAAACTCTGGTAATCTTACTTCAAGGCCCATACATCCTCAACCTCTTAAGCTATACTGCCTATGGAGTAGACATCTAATAAACATTTGCTGAAAAACTGACTGCCGCATAGTCCATTGAGTGTAAGGCTCTTTCCCTATATACTAAATTACTCTATTCATGTTCTTTGATATGCACTATTTTCTCCTTTTCCTCCACTGTGGGCACTGCTGCTACTTCTTGCTGCCATATCCCAATATTTGTCTCTAATAGATTACCTCTTCTTACTTGCTGCAGGCTAGGACACCAGATAATCAAGATAAACACAATAATAAATAAAAAATTTAATCATCAGACTATCAGTAGCAATTTCTCCTACAGAGTATAGTATATAAAGTTAATGATGGCTCACGATGGTTATTTTTGTTTTCTAAGGCCAGTTTTTAGTATTAGTGTTCTATAAAGTTGGGACTGTTGGCCTCAAATCAAGACAAGTGGCATAACGTAAGATGACAGACTTTTTCTGATCTGGGATGTGGTAAATTTACCATATTTAAAGCCCATTAAATAGATTTTTCTAATAAATCCATGGCTATATACAAATAAATGAAAATTACCTTATAAATAATTTTTACAAGGTCCATTACTGTAAATGATTTTTCAAAGTTCTCACGAAACAATGTAAGAATTTGCTGTTCTCGGATATTTCTGTGAGAAATGTACTGCAGAATTTTAGCTTCGGCATTATTGATTACTGGGCCATGTCCTGTATTAAAATAATGATAAAAATTACTTCAACCAGATAAAAACTATTAAGTACAATGGAAGTTAACTCATTGTATTTAAAAATAATTCATTTGGTGTAGTGGAAAAGCACGCTAAGTACACAAACATAAATTGTTCGGAAAACTTTACATGCATGAAAGATTTAAAATTACATACAATGCTCCTCAAATTACAAAATTATAGCAAATAAAATCTATAGAAAATGTTATGTTACATTAAAAATATAAAATCAAAATATAATAATAAAACATAGCAACTGTAACAATAAAATAGGTAATATTTATGGAGTGCTTCCTATATGCCAGGCACTGCTCTAAATGCTTAATATATATTATTCTTACAGGAATCTCATGAGGTTGGCACTATTATTATTCTTTAAGAACAGAAACTGAGGCACAGAGAACGTAAATAATCTGCCCACAGTTATATAGCTAACTGGGGTGGAGCTGGGATTCTGACTTGGGAGCTCTTAACCACTCTGTACTAAGCTCACTTACACAAGACTGAAAAAGGAGAATGTAAAAAGCAGCTTCATGTGAGTGACAATACTAAAAATTCACAAGACCCATATGAGAATTTAAAAAATTTGGGTATAGGCTAGTGATTCAGAAATTTTGACAACCTTAATTAAGTTGCATTGAAATTTACTTCCTTTTTAAGACAATGCAAATTAATCTGTAAGGCGGATGTTTCAAGTATCTGAGAACAAAATATGTAGAAGCAGGCTAATCTATTTATTCCATACAGAGCACAGGCTGTGGTTAGACACAGACTATCATTTATTAGCTGTGTGGCTACAAGGAAGTCCCTGAATCTCCCTGAGTCTGTTTCTTCAGCTGTCTGATGAGGAAACCACTATCTACTTTAAAGGGTTTTTTGTGAGGATGACAGGTGTAAAGGCCTCTGCACAATACCTGATGGCTAGCAGGCTTAAATATATGGTAGCTATGGCTACAGAGCATAATTTACATATAAACAACGGCTGTCCTAATAAGCCAGTTCACTGCATTCACGAAAGCAAACACTCTAAGAACCTCTGCCAGGCAGCCTCTTATTAACCTAGCTTCAATGTGAGTATTATGAATGCCTACTCTCTTCTTTTTAAAAATAGCTAGCAGTTTCCATTCCTTTTATGTCATGATATTAATCTAAATGCCCAGCTCCACTGTATATTTCCTACTCTCTCAGCAGTAGGAACTCAAGAGAGAATGTAAGTGTACTGAAGAGCCTGTGTTGACAAATTTTTCCATGGCTGTTTGGTTTACAGCAAATTAGAAGGAGTTGGAAAATTAAGTAACCTAGTCCTGTTTTCCTTCTGGGTCTTCTTATTGGGTCCTGTGTCTTCCTTAGCTTTTGAGATGGAGGGGAGATTCATACTGTAAAGCAGTATAGTGAGATCTGCGATATTAACAAGTTTCTTTTTCTGAAGAATGGAAATAAACATACCATTTAACAGTTGAAATGAAGCTATTGTTATTTATTTTTTCAGACAGAGTCTTGCTCTGGTGCCCAGGCTACAGTGCCATGGCCTCAGTTCAGCTCACAGCAATCTCAAACTCCTGGGCTCAAGCAGTACTCCTGCCTCAGCCTCTGATGTAGCCGAGACAACAAGCATCTGTTATAATGCTTGGCTAATATTTCTATTTTTTAAGACATAGACCTTGCTCTTGCTCAGGCTGGTCTCAAACTCCTGAGTTCAAGCAACCCTCCTGCCTCTAGGCCTCCCAGAATGCCAGGATTATAGGTGTGAACCTCCACACCTTACTGAAGCTATTACTCTTTCAATATAGTGAATTAAG